CCCGGGTCCTGGAACCCTGGCAGAGGTGAAGGCAGCTCTAAACCAACAGCAGAAATGTCTTGCAGTGAAGCAAAGATGTGTCAGGGCTCACCTTTTTGCCAAAATGCTCCCTCTGAATGCACTGATGTCACTGCAGCTGTTCATGTTCTGGGATAATTCCTGCGAGACCCTCTGAGCTGACTGCTGTCCCTGTTCCCTGCAGGTCACCGAGGAGAGGGGCTCTCACTTTCTGAAGCAACGAGCAGTGGCTGCTGGTGAGTTTGCCACCCCTTCCCCTCCGGAGCTGCAGCCCCAGCACCCTCCCCACCACCCTCTGCCCTGCCCACCCCAGCCCCTGCCCAGCCAAACCAGCCAGGCCACACTGGGGGGATGCAGGGGGATAACCGTGGGCAGGGTGAAATGGGAGCATTTCCAACCCCGGGCTCTCCCAGCTGGGCAGGCACAGGCTTCCCCACAACTCTGCAGGGTCAGCGTGTCAGCCTTCAGGAACACTCATAATCACAGGATATGATCCCATGCAGGTGCTTTTATTGAGAGCTCTGGGAATCAGGGTGCAGACCCAAATCTGACTCCGACGTGGCTTTCGAGCTGAACGTATTTTATATTCTATCCTTATATAACTTACATATTAATTATTAAATTTATATTGTTCTATTGTATACATTGACATGAGTTTCTCATGATCTTTCTTAGGCCCCTGACCCCAGTTTCTCATGATTACTCTTATGATTAAACAGTAATTATATTTAATTACTAAACAATCATCACATCTAACAATTATATCATTTATCATGTACTAGCTTCACAGGTGCAGTTCTAGCAAGTACAAGTTCTTCATGTGCTTAGGGTGTTTATTTTTCCAGGGCCTACTAAGCTTATTTTTCCTTTTAACCCTAAATCCCCATGATTTTAAAACCCTTTTACTATCAAGTGGGACTCCCTGAACAAGCACGAGCAGGGATTTGGGAGCCCTTGCTCCTCACGCTTCCCCTCTGTTTGCCCTCCATCAGTTCAGGGCACAGCCACGATGTGCCCTGCTGGTGCTGCAGCAGCTCTGACAAACTCCCCCTTTGCAGTTTGTTATCTCAGGGGTGTCCTGAGAGATCATAGAGAATCACTCCTCTCTCAGACTCTGCAGAAGGGAGAGAGCTGCACATTTCCTGCTGGACATCAGTCACCACTCGTATTTTGCTGACTTAGGGAAGGTTCTTCCCCCAGAGGTGCTGGCACTGCCCAGGCTGCCCAGGGAATGGGCACGGCCCCGAGGCTGCCAGAGCTCCAGGAGCCTTTGGCCAGCACTGCCAGGGATGCCCAGGGTGGGATTTTGGGGGGTGTGGGAGCTGGGCTGGGTCATCCTTGGGGTCCCTTCCAGCTGAGGATATTCTGTAATTTTATTCTTGAACAGCAGCAAACATCCTCACACCATGTTTTTCCCTTTTCCCTCAGTTACAGACACACTTTCCAGCGCAGAGAAGCCACGAGCTCACCTGACAGGTAATCCTCGTTCACAACTAAATCCTTTTTACAGCCAATGTTGTGGTTCAGTAACCTTGGTCTGTGTGGATCTGATAGGAGCAGGTGTTGCAGGAAACATGGGGAGCAGAATAATCAGCTTTGCCTTGTGGAGCATGCCAGACTGAGTGCAGTGTGTCTGTAGGAAAGGGCCCACGAAGGGACAGCTGACAGAAATGTCACTTTTCTGAGCTGTTTCTTTTTATTGAATGGCCAGCTTTTGTAACTGAACTGGAACATGTACCCAGTGTCTCAGTGATCTGCTGAATCCTCCAGAAAAGGCAGGGAAGGAGCTCATGTGAGCCCTCGTGGAGCAGTGAATTGGCAAGAATTGCAAGTTCTGGAGCAAACTCAGGTCAAATCAGGCTGGTTTTATTTTATTTTTCTGCAAGGCCTGACTCAGACTACACACACCATATTCCTATAAATCCTCCCTCCTGTTTTCAGTGAGATAATCTCTAACACATTTCAGAGCAAGAAGGGAAAGGGTAACTCCAAACTGAACCCTCCAAGTTTTTTATGTTGTCTTAGGAAGGTGCCATCACAAATCCCATCACAGGGTGGGCTTCCAGGCCTTTCCAAGAGGTTTCCATGCCTTTCTGAAGAGTTTCCATGCCTTTCCAAGAGCTTTCTATGCCTTTCCAAAAGGTTTCCATGCCTTTCCAAGAGCTTTCTATGCCTTTCCAAAAGGTTTCCATGCCTTTCCAAGAGGTTTCTATGCCTTTCCAAGAGGTTTCCAGGCCTTTCCAAGATGTTTCCATGCCTTTCCAAAGAGTTTCCATGCCTTTCCAAGAGGTTTCCTTGCCTTTCCAAGGGGCTGCCAGCATCTCCAAGGTCCCCATATCACCACCTCAGCCTTGAAGCTCCACCCACATGGAAAATTTAGGTATTCCCAGAGAAAAGTTCCTGTCTGGCTCCAGTGTGGATGGAGTGAGTGGCAAAGGGTTTCCAGCTGGCCTGATGCCATTTATCCCTCTCCAAAGTACAGCTCACTGCAGAGGCTTCCCCAACACCCCGAGTGCTGTCCCAGGGTGAACTTTACAACTTGAAAACTGCAGGAAGTGCTGGGATGTTTCTCTCAAATCCTCCTGCACAGATCCAAATCCACCCCCAGGGTCCCATCCACCTGCAGCTCAGGGCTGATGCATTTCCCAGCAGAATTTCCTTTCCTTGACCCACCAGCTCCTCTCTGGTGCCCATCCTTTGTGCCTTTCCCTTTGGCACGGGGGTTTCTGGAGCTCCAAACCTGACCTGGCCTTGTCCACAATCACATCTTTGCTCAGTTCTAGTTCTAAGGAGCAAGAGGACCATGTCTGCTGCTGTGAGGTTTTGGTTTTTTAAATCCCCCATGGCAGAGAGAGCCAGAGGCTCCAGTGACTCAGAGGAGCAGCCAAAGCTCTGCTCTGCTGTTGGGAACTTCCCTGGGTTGCATAAAACCCCAGCTGCCACAGGGAAACACCCAGCAGCTTTCTCCAAATTTCTTCAGCCCCCATAGTTACAAAAATTCCTTTGCCATCACTCCCAGGCCTCCCTGGGACTGTGTCCATCCTCTCTGGCATTCCACTGAGGGCCAGTCACTGCTGGCCATGGAAAGGAGCAAGAAAAGGAGAAACTTAAGGGAATTTTCTCTCTCCTTTCTGTGCTGTGCTGTGTAGTCATCAAGGAACACAATATCTATGAATTATCTTTGACCTTTTTAGCCTGAACACATTCCTGGTGCTTCTCTCTGTGGCAATGACTTTCCCAGCTCAACAGCACTTTGCAGGCAGAAAATATTTCCTGTTGTTTTCAGCTCTGTGCATAATACTATTTTGGGTTCCACCCCGGTTTTCTCTTCTCAGAAACCATGACTTGTGCATAGAAAGTGTAAAAGGAATAATTATTCTCCTGATCTTTGTTACATTCCCCCACCTCAGGTGCCTTGTTCAACGTGAAGGTGGCAGACTACAAATCCTAAATTGTAGGAAATCTCTTCCATACCTTTATTGTGTCTTTTTCTAGCTTTAGGCACATCTGTTGTGAAGGTGAGAGCAGAGGAGGGAGAGGAATGTGAATTAGATGGGGTTCTTTGGGAATGCACTGATTAATTGGCAGTAGCCGAATAACTCCATGTTTTGGTGTCTGTTCCTTTATGATAAGTCTTCCAGCTGCTCTTGGCCTTTATAACTCACACTGAGATTTTTTATTCATCCAGACTGGAATAGAGATCTCTCTTCCCTAAGGACTTTACCTACTGAGATGTGCCAATCCCCAGCTCAGAGCTCCCTCCAAGCCCATTTTGAGATGTGCCAATTCCCAGCTCAGAGCTCCCTCCAAGCCCATTTTCTCCTGTGCATTAATGTTCATTTGGGGCTTTTCCTTGCCTTGCCATCATCCCCTCCCCACTTACTTGGTTGGATTTGGGGTCAGAATTCAGGGCAGTGCCTGTTCCACCAGCCTGTGGCACAGTGACCAATGCTGCAGGACCTGGCTCGTGCTCCTCATGCTGCAGTGGCCCCAAACCCCCTCTAAACCTGGGCAGAGTTTCATTTCTGATTCCAAATGATCTTTATTAAATCCTCAGGGCATGGCTGGAGCACCAGAGGACACAGGAGCCTGCCCCACAAGGGCTTCAGCACAGGCTCCAGCCTCTTGCTGAGACTCAGAGCTCAGGATTAGGCTCTGCCATTGCTGCTAAGAACTGTAGAAACCCCACCAATTCAGCACAAAATATATCCCAAATCTGACAGGCAACAGGGATTCTCCAGCGAGGGACTGAACCTGTCCAGGGGACAGGAGAATTAAGGGATGCCAGAAATTTATAGTGAGGAAACAGAAGGAGCTGTGGCAATGAATCTCTTATTAAAAGCACATTTTAATTCCTTTAAGAATTAGCATCATAGGTATATTTGCAGGAAGCAGAGCTCCAGAAATTAGGAAATAAATAAATAAATGACAAGTACAAAATACAGCTGATGCTAGAAAATGAGCTGTGCTGTATTAAAAAGCACTTGAGCATTCATTTTATTCTCCTGTTACTGAAAGCATGGGGAAAAGTAATTATCTTGAAAATAGAGAACATCAATAGAGGGAGATTCATCCTAAAAGGGAGGTTAAAGTTGTGAAACCTGACTAATTCTAAAAGTTAGGAAGTCATGTAGTTCATTTGAGATATTCTATAACTAATAAAATTTAATTATAACTAATATAAAAATTCATTGTGGAATTGAGTGTCATTAACATTTTAAATGCATCGTTCTACAAGATAAGAACATTTCACAGGCAGCTTCTCTTCAAGTTTCCCCCAAAATTCCAGAGATGGAATAGAGCTTAGGACATTTTCTGGAAATATTCTGATCTTTCTTCATCCTTCCCACCTCAAACAAGATTTCCTCTGCTCTCTGAGATGAATTCCTCCAAGCTGATGCAAACCTTAGAGGGATCCAAAGCTGGCTGAGCTTTTCCCAGGATTCAGACAGTCCCAAAACCAAAAGGTGGATGCAGATGAAGGCAGCACTTTCACTTTCTTCTATTCCTCTCTCAGTGTCAAAGCTCCATTGCCTCTAACCTTTATAATATTTCTATAATTTAGCTTTCCTTGCTGCCATAATCCCTGTCTGTCTTCCCTTCCCTGAAATACTTTTCTCATCCACTTTGCCTCCTGGGAAAAGATCAGAAAGATTTGATATTTCAGCAGCACTAAAAAAAAAAAAAAAAAAAAAAAAAAAAAAAAAAAAAAAAAAAAAAAAAAAAAAAAAAAAAAAAAAAAAAAAAAAAACCACCCCAAAAAAGGTCCTTATTTTGTTGTGCTACTCAGAGAATATAAAAGGAATCGAAGGAATCGCACTCCTAACAGCTTCCTGTCTCCTCATGGATTATTTATGGTTGGAAAAGAGGGAATCAGATGCCACTGGGACATGAGCACATTCTTTTTTCTGAGTCTCATTTCACCCAGGATGGACCTAATGGTTATTGCCAAGGGAATTACAAAGCCTTCCCTCACCTGCATCCTATTTGCCCCCCTGCCCCAAATACTGAATAAAAATCAACTTTAAACATGAACATAAACTCATTGAAAAGGTTTCTTTTCAAACTCTGTTCCCTCAATCTTTTCTAAGCATTCATCATTCATTTTCCAGGCTCATTTTAATACCTGAGATAATCTGGATGTTTTTTATCCTCTTCTCCCCACTGCTGCTGCTTTAGCACAATGATTCTATGTGGCAGTCAGTAAAGAGCAGAGACAACTCTTGATTCCCTGCAGAAAAGCATGCAAAGGCTGAGGTTTATTGTCCTCTCTGTTGTGTGTGAGAAATCAAAGTGGTGAAGGCAAAAGGACAGCAATTCCCTAATTTTTTCCCCTGCAGGCTGGGAAGCATCCTCAGCTTGGGTCAGACTGATGCTGGGGTCAGGACTGGAGCTGTGCTTGTAATCAGCTCACCACAAGATTGGGGAGAAAAAGCCTGGAGGAATGCTGGGGCTGACTCCAAATGTAGCATTTTGTTCCATGAAAGCATTAAAGAAAGAAAAAAGGGAAAGATGGGGATAAAAATGGTTTAAAATACAATGTGTTGGTTTGGAATTAGGCCTCTTGAGGCACGGTGGGGTCTTTGGGGTTTTTGCTAAAATCCAGTGACCTTGGTAAAGCAAAAGCAATTCTACAAAAGTTGTCCTTGAGAGCACTCAGGAGGAGAAGGGCTGAGGTGCCCCAAGCCTCTTAAGAAGCTTGGCAGGAAGAGAAGTCCAAGTGTCTGAGTGCTTGGTGACGCATCGTGGTGACCACTGTGGGCATTTTGCAAGCTCAGCAGTGTCTTTCTAAGAAAGAGAATTTCAATCCACCCCTTCTGAAGGATAAGGTGGTTTAGAGTGTCCTCTTCCTGTCCCCCACCCTTAGGTACAGCCCTTAGGTCCCCAACCCTTAGGACAAGTGTCCCAGTGCTGGTGTCACTTAAGGACAAGGTTTTCACTCTGGAGATGGGTGAGATGGGAAGGCAAAGCCATCTCCATTGCTTCCCAGTGCCAGGAGACTTGTTGGAATCTGTGGTATTGATGACTCTGAGATTGTAGAAAGTCTCTGTCT